AAGCACATAACTGATAGCAATAAGTGACATTGTAATGAAGGATAAGCTATGCATTGAACAATAGCGTAATTGGGTAAATATGATTAAATTCTTTTTATTTTACCTCCCGAATTACCGGTAATACCACGAATGTTTCATTAATTTCTTTATTCAAGAGGTTCCAAGAAAACTTCACACGTTAATTAAGAATGCGCACGTTATTTGAGTACTGATATTGTGAGATTTGTAGGGAAATTACTTATAAAATAAAAGTACAAAAATTATTTTCTAATATCAGGGACTCAACCTAAGTGACGAACAGGTTCCTTAGCTTTGTGCTATAAATTACAAAGTACACAAATTGGTGAGATGAACTACTTTGTATTAAAGGAAAGAAATTCGAGGATGAGTTCTCTTCTATTAACAAACAAATTATTATTCATGACTCCGTACATGTCTACTAAAATTAGTTATTTGTATTTTACACGCCTGGTGATTGGTGCCTCTTGACGAAAGAACCATCTGAATTAATGATGCGGCGAAAGCACAGAGTTCACACAGATGAAGAAGCGTCCGCTTTTTCATGAGAGATGCCGTTAATTTACACGTTTATTGATGACGCAGCACTCTTCCCCTTCCAGAGCCGTCCCTTAGGTGATAAATCGAAGCAAATATTTTCGCGTAATAGTCTTTCCGAGTCGGCATGCCACGTGCTCCTTCGCGAACACTACTCCACAAATTCCCAATCACGTGTTCCTTCCGAGATTTACAGCATAATGGAGCGGCGTCGCCGCCGCCTCGATTTGTCAAATGACTCGACGAACGGGCTCCCATTGTTCCGATTCCTCGACTCTTTAAATACCTGACGTACGATTTAGCGAGCGGGCCTCGCCTCATCCCTCCCCCGCATTAGTTTGATTTTCAAACACGTCAGATGGTATAATATGTACTGAGTGCACAATAAGCCGCACACACGAGCCTGGGAAGTGTTGTTACTCCTGATTCGCTTTGTCGATAACCTCCGCTGCCGCCGCCGCCGCCGCCGCCGGGTCCAGACGGCGGAAGAACCGCGGCGGCGGCGGCGGCGGCGAAAATAAACTCCCCGGGCGCTTGGCGATTCTATTTATCTTGGGCGGCGCGGCGCGGAGGGGAGGAGCCGTGCCCAATGATTTATCGATTTACGAGCGGAGCTCGCGAGAATGAATCGATCCCGCATGCCTCCGCCGAGATAAGGGTCGGGGCGCGAGGCGGGCGGTGCCCCCACGCCGCTGGACTTGCGCCAGAGAGAAATCATAATTGCGCGGCCGCTGGGTGGTCGCGGAGGCCCTCGCGAGCCGAGCGGAGATGCGTCGCGGCGCGGAGGCGGACGGTGGCAGGACGACGACGCGCTCTCAGGGCGGGGGAGTGGGGTTGTTTTATGGAAGCGCGGAGAGGCGTTTTGGGGAGGGGAAATGAAAGTGGACGGTGCACCTTTCCCACACTGCGACGTATAAAAACAATCGCGAAATGGTGAAATTATGCAATTGTAATATTTTGGGTTGTAGTATTATTTGTCGAGGAGGATTACGCATTGTTTGAAATATATATTTCTGTATTATTAAGTATTAATTGTAAATAACCTGTAAAGTACTGCAAATGCGGAATAAGTAAGAAATTATATCAGATAAACTCAATAGAACCATACAATACAGCCCTTAACTACGTTCCTTACAGGCCATAAATAATTCCAGGAGCCGTGTGTTGTTGGGGCGGTGCCCCGCTAGTGGGAAATACCTAGTCGGGGAAATCCCCCACGAGCTGATGTGTTAGTTGACGCCGATTTTCTCGCCACCACCGTCCCGTGGCGAGGCCACACGAGGTCAGGTGAGGCAAAGCGATGCAAGTCTACACAACCTGTACTTCACTTACGGTACTAAGGACTTTAAAATGTAGCAATCATTAATTTACCAATCAATCAATCAAAGGCAGTATGGCTTCGGTGATATAACGGTTAGCAATTCGGGCCCGATTGATGGATTTTTAAGGGCGAAAAATCTTTCTTCTGATGGGAAGTGAAGCCAACTGATGCACGTTTTTGATTTACAGCATGTAAAAGATTCCCAAGCCTCTGAACTAAATTCAAAATCGACCTTTCGTCACTCAACTGATGTTTTCTTTCTCCGCTAGATGGTGAAAAGAACATAGCGAAATTGGCGAGGTCAGGCGGAAGAGCCGGACCTGATAGCCCCAGTTCCGCTACGTAAAATAAGGCATTAGGAGTTAGGCATTAGAGTTTTAGCTCCAGGCGTAAGGAGGTATCCTTAAACTCTATTGATCACGTGACTAACGCCTTTATACGGTCGTAATGAACAAC